CTTCCACCATGAAAAAATGTGTAACCATACTTATATAGAACCCAAGAGAATTTACCTGGTACAATGTTACTAATTAGTCACTTTTGAACTAGTTTCTATCCAGCCCTTGTAACCCAGGCCATGTGCTATAGATTACTGGGAATTTAGACCCTGTTCTTTCCAGGCACACAGCATCCTTGATAAGCCACACCAGAAGGACTCAAATTTACCTGTAGCCCATGGACTTATAGCTGAAACTTCACAGGGTGAGAAGAAGCAGGTGCCTGTTATACCACAGGTTATAACTGGCAGTTATTGGACTTTCAGATCTTTCCTTGAGGGTGACAAATGAATGGTGGCCTGAGACTACCATATACTTGCTATTTTAATTTCCTCCTATTAGGATATATATTAATGTGGTAGGCCTGGTTCTGCCACTGTCAATGATTATTATTATAAGCTTTGCCTTATCGCCAATCCCCACTGTTTGTGTAAGTAGTGTGCAGTTGCTTTAAGAGAGCAATCTGTACAATTCAATAATTCATGTATTGAAGTTCTTAGCCAGCTTAAACTTGCATAATTTCCTTTCATCAACTGTGTTTTCAATTCTATACCATTGGATAAATTAATGACACTATCAATAGAATTACCTTATGCCCAGGGAGGTGTTTGATAGTGTTCATTAACATGACTATGATATCTCTAAAGAGAACCAAAGACTTATATAAACCATAGATATATGGATGGATTTGGATAAGTCTAGCCCCAATCTAAAAAAAAAATAGTTCTTATGATATGGCCCTGCTTGATGCTTGTTCTCATGAAAAGATTATTGACAATATAGGTGCAATAACAAAGTGTGGTAAAGAAACTAGATGATGCCCAACTATCAAGAAGAATAGCATCTGGGGTCTTAAGGCTTGTCTTCAAACAAAGCAGCCATCTAAGTGAGCTGTCAACTCAGGAGACATAGAAGCACACCGGCCTGTGTGATCCAAGGACTGTAAATAATATAAACCAAATCCAAAGGAGAGAATGGTATCCATGCTTAAATTGTGAATACCCAGCTTGCAAAAGCCTGTGGTCCATAGTAGAAACCCAAAACCCATTTGCAGGGTCTACGCATAAATTAAGCCCTTGGTGCATACCTCAGACCATAATCTAGAGATAGGAACAGCCTTTTTAATAGATACAGATCATTGTGTAGATCACTATAGTAGATAGCTAGGTTAAAATGTAATATCTTATTTGACCTCCCTTTTGACTCATTTAAAAATTGTTTCAGTTAAATAAAAAGAAAAAAAAAAGACAAGGGGAAATACATGTGGATTAAACTTCCAGTGAATCAAATCTGACCATATGCCAGGGATGTGAATTGCCTTGTTAGCATACAGAGTACCATAGAAAGTGGATTATGACAGATGTAGTTAAAATTTAACATCTTAATATTTGGTCTCCTTTTTGACCCACTTTAAAGTTATTCTAATTTTTAATAATTTCTACTTTCTTTTTAATTGAGGGATTTCTCCAATTTATTTTGTTATATGTGTTAGCTTTTTTGTTTCTTGATTTTCTGTGTTTTGGTATATAAATTCCAGGATGGGTGAATCTACAAGGACAGTAAGTAGATTAGTGGTTTCCTGAGGGTATGGTGGTGGAGGTGGGAGGAGGAGGAATGGTGAGCTAATAACAATTAGTGCAAGAAAGAAGAGAATGCTCTAATATTGATTCTGGTGATAATTGTACAATACTTTTGATGTGATAGAACTATTGAATTGTATGATAAGTGGATTATGTGCCAATAAGACTGTTTTTTAAAAAGATATAACCATAAAAAACATCAATGCACTCAATTAAAGACCTTGAAAATACATTATCAACTTTTATAGAAATGAAAGAACAGACAATAATATAATAATACTATGAGACTTTAATATATCACTTTTCAGCAAAGACGTATCAACTAGAAAGAAAATCAACCAAGATGCAGAAGAACTAAAACAACATAATTAATAAATTTAATCTTTAGACATATAGAACACTTCAACAAAAACAAAATATACTTTTTCTAGTGCACATGGAACATACTCCAGAATAAACTGTATTTTAGACCATTAAGCAAGCATCAATAAATTAAAAAAAACAACCTTGAGACACTAGAAATAATTTTTTTCTGATCATAATTCTATAAAATTAGAAATCAACCATAAGGCTACCAGCAACAACAAAAACCCAATTACATGGAAATTGAGTAACACTTTACTTAAAAAGCATTGGGTAATTGAAGTAATTGAAGAAGTAAGGAGCACACATTTAAAATTTTTTTGACACAAATAACAATGAAAATACAACATACCAAAATCTCTGGTACATGGGAAAAGAAGTACTCGGAGGACAATTTATAGCAATACATACAGATATCAAAAAGGAAGAAAGAATTAAAATAACCACCCTATCACATCAATTAGAACAAGACCAGCAAAATAAAGCTTCACACACTAAAAGAAAGTAAATAAAGATTAGAGTAAAAATAAATGAATGATAAAAGAAAAAATAGAAAATTCAATAAAACAAGATGTTGATTCTTAGAAGGGATTAATAAAACTTATAAACCACTGGCAAACCTTACAAAGGAAAAGAACAAAAGATAAATATTATGAATAAGAAAATGAAATGGGCAACATCCCAATAGAACCTAGTAAAGTAAAAAGATAGTGACACAGTATTATGAAAAATTATATTACAAAATAGCTGAAAAATTGACAAATTTCTAGAAAACATCATCTACCTTTATTAACACAAACTAATACAGAAAACATCAACAAACCTATAACACAAGAAATAGATTTCGTCATTAAAAAACTCCCAACATGAAAAGTCTGGTGCCAGATGGTTTTACTAGGGAATTCTACCAAGCATTTAGAGAATAGTTAACACCATTTCTACATAAAGTATTTAAGAATATAGAAAAGGATAATATAATACCAAACTCACTTTATGAAGTAAGTGTAACCCAGATAATTAAAGGATCCAATAGTGAGACTGTTTGCAGTTTCCAGCCAGCTTTAATCCTCTGCTATCTGTTTACAAACAAATCCATGCTCCCTATTTCATCCAGGCAAAACGATGTCATCACAGCTTGCAGATGTGTCTGCCCAGCGGTGCAGAAGGATCCAACAAGAAAGGTTGATTCTAAAAGAGTTATAGACATCCCAAAGACTTAAATAGCCCAGATCACGATTCTATGTTCCCTCTCTTAATGCTCTCTCTTCCTGCTCTTGGACTACTCTTACCTCTCTCTTGCTGTTCTTTGCTCTTGCCCTGCAGGTTCTATGAAATTTCTCTCTCTCTCATTCTCCATCTCTTCTTTTTCCCTTTTCTATTTGCCAGCTTCTTTCCTCACCTGCTAGTTCTCTCTCATAAACTTATTCTCTGCAATAAAAATGGCAGGCAGTGATTGCAGTCAGGGAAGACCCCATTACTCCCTCAATGCAAGAATAGTTTGTTCTATTAAACTGGCATTCCATAATGCTCACCTCTCCAATAAGATCAATGAAGACCAATGGGTGCATAAGCAAATGTGGTGAAGAAAGCTGATGGTGCCTAGCTATCAAAAGATATAGCATCTGGGGTCTTAAAGGCTTGAAGGTAAACAAACGGCCATCTAGCTCAGAAGCAACAAAGCCCACATGGAAGAAGCACACACAGTGTGATCTCGAGGTGTCGAAGGGATGAGGTATCAGGCATCAAAGAACAAAATATCATATCATTGTGAATGATGGGGAGTGCGGAGTGGGGACCCAAAGGCCATCTGTAGATAAGCCAGTCAGGGTGCAGTGTAGTAACGATAAATATACAACTTTCTTCTAGTTCCTAAATGCTTCCTCCCCACTATCATGATCCCAATTCTACCTTACAAATCTGGCTAGATCAGAGGATGTACACTGGTACAGATAGGAAATGGAAATACAAGGAGTCCAGGACGGATGATCCCTTCAGGACCAGTGGTGAGTGGTAATACCGGGAGGGTGGAGTAGAGAGGGGAAACCGATTATAAGGATCTATCTATAACCTCCCTCCCTGGGGGACGGACAACAGAAAAGTGGGTGAAGGGAGACGTTGGACAGAGTAAGATATGACAAAATCATAATTTATAAATTACCAAGGGTTCATGAGGGAGGGAGGAGTGGGGAGGGAGCTGGAAAAAATGAGCTGATGCCAGTGGCTTACGTGGAGAGTAAATGTTTTGAGAATGATGAGCATAACGAATGTACAAATGTGCTTTATACAATTGATGTATGTATGGTGATAAGAGCTGTATGAGCCCCCAATAAAATGATTTTTTTTAAAAAGTAATGCTGAGGTTAATCTAAAAGATTAGCGGGGAGTACTTACTACAAGTACTGTTGAACCTATACTACTAAGAGATCAAAATTTGTCTTCTGTATTGTGAAATAGCTTTTCTATTATACTGTTGTTAGGTGCAGTTGAGTTGGTTCTGATTCATAATAACCCTATGTACAACAGAACAGCACAATGCCCAATCCTGTGCCATCCTCATAAATGTTCATATTTAAGCTTACTGTTGTGGCCTCCCCTGGAGGGTTTTGCTTTTTATTGCTGGTCTTCCCCCTTACCAAGCATGGAGTGCTTTTCCAGGGTCTACTACTGATAGCATGTCCAAAGTACATGAGAAGAAGTCTTGCCATCCTAAGATGAAGTGATTAATAGTTCCGTGTGTAATATCTTGAAGTTCATTAAACAGTCCATTGAAGGTAACAGAACAGTGGTTTAATTCTTAAATGAAATTTACTGAAACTTCTTGAGTTACTCAACTTTAAAAACCCACTGTTTTTAAGGTTATACAAACTGAACGATTGAATCGAATATTTCATATCCACCTGTAAAGCATTAATTTTCAAAAATGTAATGTCTAAAACCTGTGTGTTAGAATTCTTCCAGAAAAATGTGAGATTTAAAATACACATATAATTCACTATCTCTCATTAAAGAGCCAAATGTTTACTATTGTTTGTTTGTTTATTTTTTTGCACATCTACAAAATTAGGTACTTTAGGTATGGTAAACGCGAGCAGTTAAATACACTCAAAACAAAGTCATTAACAAAAGTGGATTTAACTTAGAAATACATAAGAAAACAATGAAGTATAAGAAGACAGTGAAATATAATTGATATAAAGTGCATGATCATACTTTTTTCTAATTTTATAAAATGGTATTTACAGAACTTTAATATCATCATAACAATAATTCATTATATAGTATTTTGGAGAAGGAATCTGGTTATTCTTTCTTTTCCTTGATTGAATCCCAAGTAAATGGACGTATACTATAAGTACTATGTATTGTGCAAAAGTTAATGCTGACCCCAAAACATACAGAAGACAACCTGAGATTTTAGAATATAAATGTAAACAATCAAAACTGAGTCCCTTAAATCAACTGGTATTAAAGTGTTAGGATAGTAGTTTTAATAATTAAAAAATGCCATATTGTCACTGTCATTGTCTTCATACTTTCAGACTGGAATGGAAAGACAGGTGGTTTAAATAAAATTGTAAATGATAATTGATAATTAGTCAAGAAATAAGTCTATGGAATGGTAGTTCCTCCTAATGAAGCACATAATGACAGGTATTTTATCTGCAGGTGATCCACTGAGTTTCAGGGGGAAAAGTAGTGTCTTTAAGGAGTCATTGTTTTCTCATTTTGCCCAGGGCCTTTCTAATGCATTGTCCTCCTTTCTACGAAGGAAGGCTAAAGCTGACTTCATTGTGCCATCACCACTTTGTTGTGAAAAGCAAAGAAAGATGGCCCAGAGAAAGCCACAGAGGCCATTGAAAGCTGTTCTCCAGTAAATGGGAACCAGGCTGAAGTTGGTCACCTGGAACAGAAAGAAAGAAATTATCTGTTATGGCTCCATATACATGAAGTTGTGAATGTTAGCATTCTGAATAAGTTTGAAACTCACCTGTACGAAAGGCCAGTACATCAGACCACTCTAGAATTAAAATAACAACAAAAATTATTAGAATGTATTTCAAACTTTTTAATGATATATTGTATAAAAATATCGATAGCACGGTATTTTCTGATTCAACATCTTTCATGTGTACAATCCACTGAGACCAATGGCAGCAATCATGTTGTGAAGTCATCATCAATGTCCAGTGCCAAACTTTCCATTCTCATAAACAGAAACTTAATGCTTCCTAACAATCATCCCGTCTCCTCCTTCCTCTCACCCCTAGAAACTACAGTTGCTTATTTTAGAGCAATGGTTCTCAACCTTCCTAATGCACAACCCTTAATACAGTTCCTCAGGTTGTGGCGAACCCCCAACCATAAAATTATTTTCGTTGCTTCTTCATAACTGTAATTTTGCTACTGTTATGAATTAGGCGACCCCTATGAAAGGGTCATTTGACCCCGAAGGGGTCGTGACCCAGAGGCGGGCCTGGAAAAGCCAGAACCCCGAGGCCCTTCTTGTCTTGAGCGGCTCCTCTGGCTTCAGGACTCCACCTGTGGGGGCGAAGTGCCCTGAAGGTGCCTGTGTAAACCTGAAACTTCCATCTTTTATAAAACTCACTTAGATCACAAACCAGGCTTCGGAGTGAATTCTTTCTCGAGTGAAGCCAAGGACCAAGGTATCTCTCACTCGAGAAGCCTAACAATATCTCATACTATTAAGAACATATCATCTGTCTTTTGTGATAGACTTACTTCATTCAGCATAACATCTGAGGTATACTACATTACTTGGTATGGTTTTCTTTCTTTCTTTTTTTAAATTATATATATATATATATAATTAAACATTTTATTAGGGGCTCATACAACTGTTATCCCAATC